AAAAATGTTAAATCAAATTTAAGGCATAATCAAAATTCTGATACTGGTTTTTATATACCAAAGTATTTGGAGACTTGTAAATTTGTTTTTATGCGTGTTATTAATAAAAGATCATTGCAACAACCATACGAAGGACCTTATAAGGTTGTTNGCAATCATTGAAACAGAACTAATACCAGAAACAAACACTAATACAATGAATAACACAACATCAAATAAGAAACGAGTTACTTTTAATTTATATAACATTAATTCTCTAGAAGGGGGAGTATTGTAGGGTTTGTATTTGTGTTATTACCTTTTATTGTACTGTGTTCATTTCAACTTTGTAATTTTGGAAATTTTGGATTTATGTGATTTCTGTGGTTCGTCAATTAAACAGAAAATTTTCATTATTATTCAAATTTTTCTCGAATTGCTAACAACATAAAAATTAATTTAGTTTTGTTAACTTTTAATAAAAATATTTAAAAAAAATCTTTGGAATCAACTGCACTGCTGTGGCCAATGACCTACAACCCCCCAATCCGTCGCTACAAAGTGAAGGAAAGAGAATAAGAGACGAAATAGCCAATAGTTTGTAATAATTTTATTAAAGTTTGGTTGTTGAAATTAAATAATTTAATTCACGAGTGAACTTCGAGGTATAAATATGTATATCGCATGTACATATGCAATGTATATATTATAAATATACATAGTCATGTGCAAAATAAGAGGGCCTCGAGACTTTGGCCAGTTTTGGTTAGCTTTCTTTTGTTTGTTAAATTTTTTTAAATAAAAATACACCTCATTATCTGACAAGAAATACATAAGTCCAAATGTCAAGCTTTGTAGAAAAGTTAGAAAAATTCAACGAAATTTTACAACAAACTCTTTATTTCAAAATTTTAGAAAATTTCTAAGTAGGAAGTTTCTTCTTTTTTTTGCTCACAAAATTTTTCGTTTTTTTTGTATATAAAAAGTGCAGTTTATAAAACTAAATCAACGCTATTCTTTAGCCTCTTAAAACTTGCACTTATTTTATTATAATTTTATAACCGATGTATGTATCTGCATACCCAAAAATTTTTCTAAAAATTCAGATTAAAAAGTTCAAAATTTTGATGAAAATTCTTAGAATTTTTCTAAATACTGTATAAAGTTTTACTTGTGTGATTTTGGTTAAAGCATGAACTATATTTTTATAAAAAATAACAAAAAAATTAACATGAAAAACACTACAAATATTCATCAAAAATCACCATGCACTCACTTTTCATCTCCAGTGTATGTATGTATATGTACATAAAAAAATAAATATAAGTCTTCAATTTTTTCTCAGATTACAAGGTACTTAAAACATAAAAAACTATTTTTATTTTAAAATGAGATCACTTATTAGCATTTGTTTGTTTTTGGAGATCTAGTCGATGACGTTGAGGGCATTTCGTTGTTCGTTTCATCGTTGAGAAGGTCCTTCGCAGATTCTGTTTGACCAAGTGTAACGCCTGCAACACCGTAGACCGATTGAGCAATTCCACATATACGTACAACCGATTCTTCTAATTGTGTTAGTTGGTGTTTGGTAAAGGGCCCACCACCAGTCGCTCGAGCTTCGCATTTGTTGTGTGATAATTTTTTTTTAATTTCACTCTTCCATTCAGTCCATGCCTGAGAATAACAAAATTAATAGAACTCACATTGAGGCTGAATTTAACACTTACCTTCTTCCATCCATTAGCATCCTTTTGGGGTGGGCCTGCGCTATTTAGAGAATTTGTTAGCTCTTCCCAAAGAGCATTAACAAGTGGTTTATCGCGTTTCGTGTAGCCCTTTGCGATATCGGGATTATTTTCCATGAATTCCACTATAATGGAATTTTGTACATTGTTCTTGTG